TGTTCCCTTTCAGACAAATGGCTATCCAACATCTTCTTAAAGACTTCCAATGTTGGGGCTTCCACAACTTCTGGATGACTTACTCTCTGGAAACAAATACTGTGGGGATAAGACACCCTAACATCCTTCGGAGGGGGGGGGGGGTTCTGTTAAGATACAGCCTATTGTGCATTAAAAGGGCTTCTACCGTACTTCTGTAAAATGCCTTCTGTTGTGCAGCGCAGTGGAGTTGCCATGGTAACACCTTCACAGTACTCACAAGGGGGCTCCCTCTAATAAGGGGGAAAATCCAACTTAGAAATTACATTTGGTCTGGACATTTTCAACAAAATCAGGGCTTTTCCTGTCTAATACAGGATTAGGATAAATAAAACCTGGGCAACTCCATGTTATCAGCTAGTTCTACAATAAGAAGGGGGAAACTTTTGAATTAATTTGGATCTATTTATTGATTAAATTTGTGTGCTGCCCATCTCATTATTGGAATGCAACATTTATCCCTCTCATCTTGCAAATCTATCTTATTCTCCTTGCCAAGAAGAATGGATGTGTGAAGTTTTTAAAAAAGGAATGCTTACTCATGGGGTGTGGGGGGAAAGGACTTCATCCTTGTCATGACATCCCAACATACGTAGTGGAACCCATCGATAATGTGAATTGTGTAGTTCTTTATGTCATGATGGAAGTAATGAAAATGACAAAGCTTGTATCATTTACATAAGGATGTCATGATGAACATGATGTCCCTATGGATCAACCAGGCACTTTTGTGTGCTGGTGATCAAATGAAGTCTTGGGAAAATGTAAGAACAAGCACACTGAATTTATTAACAAATGATCATCCTTTTTCTTATATATCTAGCTTACACTGAAATAAAAATAAATAAATATAAATAAATAAAATAAACACAAAAATAAATAAATAAAAAATAAATAAATAAGCAAGCAAGCAAGCTAGCTAATGCACCTCTTTCTCAGAATTGAACAACTTGCTGCAGCCAACTCGTCATTGTCAACTCACCCTGGTCAACCCATCACAGGACAATTTGGTGAGAGCATTCAGAGAGTTTAAAACTAAAAATGGCTGCAAAAAATTATCCTGCTTATTCCAGAGGTTGCAAATAATTGTTGGAATTATGTCCATCCTGCAGATTGCAAATATTGCACCTATACAATTAAAAATGAGTCTACAATCATTATTTAAATTTTCAACAGCTGGTCCAACGGTCCAATCATTCATTCCAATAAATCTGTAGCAACCCTGACTGCTCTTTAGCATGAGCTTAAATGGACTCCAGAGGATGGTAGAGGACAGGAAGGCCTAGAGGAACGTTGTCCAGGGGGTTGCGATGGGTCAGACACAACCTCGCAACTAACAGCAACAACAAGTATCTACTTTCTATCTGGCTTGATTTGGCTTTAAAATGTGAAATTGTTTGTCTATTTAACATCCATTAACTTGACCTTCAGTTCGACTGTGTTAGGAGCTCAATATAAATGAATGAACATTTGTCTTGTACCTTTTGTAAAGAGCACTGCATGCAGTTTCAGACTTCCTCCATTCTGAAATCGGGTAGGTAGCTTAGAAAAGTAGTAACTATCCAGGAATAAGGTCACTTTCAAAACTTGCCGATTTCCCTCCACGTGATAAAATACATGAGTATCTGGAGGTATCAAGGAAAAAGACATTACAAATTTCAGGGGAAATAGTAACACAAGATAATTGACACGTGAATACTGAAAGAAGGAAACCCACTCATGGTCAGGCCTGGAAGCCATCTTTTTTGAATTGGGCCTTCCGGCCTGCCACATTCAATGCTGTGGGAAAATGGGAGGAGGGATTATACAGACTATGGGTGATAGATAGTCAAAATAACATTCCTTTCTCAGAGAGTCAAGGACATCTTGCCCTGCACCTTGAAGGGTGTGACTGAGAGGCATCTCCAGTTGGGACAAGGCCTGACTGGGCCATGTGATGGACATGTGGGTGCTGGGCAGGAACTTGAACTTTCAATTGTGTGTGGAAAACCTGGAAGCTTTCCGATTCGGGTTTTCCCAGATGTGCCAATATGACATTTCTAACAAAATGGAACTTTGAGGAACTTCATACCTCGGAGTCTTCTTTTGTTGGGGGTGTTACTTGGAACCCTGAAACTCATAGGTTTTTGTCTTTTTGGGGTGAGGCATTGCTCTTAATCAGGGATGTGCTACTTCTGTTGAACTGAGTGTTGCAATAGGTATATCTTAGAAAAGGTGAGGTTTTGCAGCTTCTATTGAAATTCCAGTCTCGGTGAACTTAAGACAACCAAAGGCATCGTTTAACTGTTCAAACAAATACAGTTATAGGAAAAATTCAAGGGAACCCATGCATCTAGTGACTCAACTTACTTGCTACAAAACATTCATCCAGCTGCTTGAAATAAAAGGCAACCTTGTCCAGCTCGGAAAGGGTGGCCTGGATATCTTCCAGCATGGTTCGCTCTTCTTTCTAAGGGAAGAAGAAATAGGATAAAAATAGATGAATAGATTGCAAAAAGGAACAGATTCAGGTAGTTCCCAACTTATGACCAGTCATTCAATGACTCTGAAATTATGATGCAATAAAAAGTTATTTGTGCCTGCCCCTTAGAATTGTGACTGCAGATGTTTATGCGCAGCAGTTAGGTGATCACATTTCAAGTGCTTACAGCCTCCAATGCTCACATAACCACTTTACTACAGTGCCTGCTGTTTTCTAGCAGAAAATGGCAAAAAAATAATAATCCAGTGAATACACTGAATTAGCTTAATAACCATGTGGTTCAGTTAACAATCATATGTTTTGTGTAACAATCATCGTAAAAATGGTCATAAAATCGAGTCTGGTCACACAGTGCCTTAGTTCAGGACTGTAGTAACTTATGACTGAAATCCAGAGTTTTATTGTAGTCGTAAGTATACAAAACATTCTCTTCATAAAACTGGAATTATAAAAAGGAGAATAGATGCATTCCCCAAGCCTAGGCATCACAAGCATCAAAGGTTGGTTGTGACTGTGACTAAAAGCATATCTAAATCCTTAGGGGACTGGAGGCTAAAACATATGAAGAACGGTTGCAGAAACTGGCTATGTCTCGTCTGATGAAAAGAAGGCCTAGGGGTGAGCTGTGCTCCAATATCTCAGGGGTTGCCACAAAGAAGAGGGAGTCAAGCTATTCTCCAAGACACCTGAGGGCATGACAAGAAGCAATGCGTGGAAACTAATCAAGGAGAGAAGCAACCTAGACCTAAGGAGAAATTTCCTGAGAGTTAGAACAATTAATCAATGGAACAACTTGCCTCCAAAAGTTGTGAATGCTCCAACACTGGAAGTTTTTAAGAAGATGTTGGATAGCCATTTGTCTGAAGTGGTGTAGGGTTTCCTGCCTAAGCAGCGGGTTGGACTATATTGTATATTCATTCATTCCCTTAAATTTACTGTGGTTTTTTTTAAAATGTGTCTCATATCTGTAACACACATTGTCCATTACAGGTCTCATATATTTCTCATATGGGTT